AACCCCCTCTTACCTGGTTCTCACTCAGACGACTGAAACCCCCTCTTACCTGGTTCTCACTCAGACGACTGAAACCCCCTCTTACCTGGTTCTCAGACGACTGAAACCCCCTCTTACCTGGTTCTCAGACAACTGAAACCCCCTCTTACCTGGTTCTCACTCAGACGACTGAAACCCCCTCTTACCTGGTTCCCACTCAGACGACTGAAACCCCCTCTTACCTGGTTCTCACTCAGACTATCAGGGTTGGTTCCCCATCATGCTGGGATGCAGCTTTTGCGCACACATGGTGAAAAGCAGGTTGGATGCTAAAGTTGCATGCAGCATGTCTGACCCAACCACAGCACACTACAGATGGATTTGGGTCCCCGCTGACACTAAATGCTTCCTATTTTCCTCTGCTCAAAGAGGAGCCCCCCCCTCCCCCGCCCGGGAGAGCTCAGAATAGCCCATCTTGGTTAGTCTTCGTGCCCTGGAAGGAAACAGCCAACCCCACCTGGTGTTGAGAGCTCCGTGCCATCCCCCACGTGGTAAGGCGGGAGTCTGTTCATAACGAAATCCTTCTTCATGTCTGAGGGCAGCAGTTCTTGGGTGCTCTCCAGCCGGTCTGCAAGCATCCGCAGGAAGCCACTTAATCTCCTTCGGATCGCTGTGCTTTCCACCTGCTGGACACAGAGAAAGGAGCGCTGGCATCCACCCCGGCAGAACTGTGCTGAGCGCCGCACCCAGGGCCGACACCGCAGACTCTGGGGATGGGGAGCAGGCTGGGACCCTCCCTCTCCTGTGACCACCACTCATCCTACGTTGCCTATTTGTGAGAAGAAGAAAAAAATTAAAATGATAGATTTTCCCGCATTTTGCCTGGACAGAGGGAACCCTGTAAATGCAGGGCAGCCTCAGAATGTCTTTGGAAAAGTTGAGTCCCTCTCTTTGGGGACCGTTTCAGGCAGCGAGCAGCTCTGCTCCCCTCAGACTAATGCACTCCTCAAAACCGGGCAAACTGCCCCTGCTGACTTCCGAAAACAAGGAGGAAACCAAAGCACCGGGGTCGCTGTGGAACGCTTCTCTTATTAGTAACCTGCGGACAGGTGTGGCTACTCCAGTCCGAGGGCATGGCCGTAGTTCTTTATGCACGCATCACTTCAGCCAGTAGTCTAACTGCCTGGCACAATTCCCTGCCCTCGAGTGGATGCTGACTCATAGCGACCCTATAGCATAGAGTAGAAATGCCCGCTGTGTGTGTCAATCTTTATGAGAGTCAAAGCTTCATCTTTCTCCTGTGTAGTCGCTGGTGATTTTGAACTGCTGACCTTGCCGTTAGCAGCCCAACTCATAACCCCTATGCCACCAGGACCCCTTCTACTGCCTGCTACAGCCATGTGAAATACTGAGATTGACATTTCCACAACACCCCCATTCTCAGGATGACCGTGTAACAGAGCACTACACGCTCTGTACCCCATACACCCCAGCGGTCAGCACAGGAAGAGACAGGCTTGGTTTATCTGAGGAGGAAGGCAGGCTAAGGTTTTGGCTCACCTGCAGGCACCTGCCCTCCTTTCTCCCCCACCTGTCTATACTCCTTACCAGGAGCAGCTGCCGGGGTAAGCCAGCCCGTAATGCCACGTCTTCCTTTGCAATATCAAACACAAGCCCAGGAATGGTATCCAAAAGACAGTCTCCCCAGCAACTAGAAGAGGCAACAAGAAAAGCACAATTAACCATGAACACATGCAAAATACACCTAAAGTCTTAAACTCTAAAGCCAAACGCTACAGATTGGGTTTCAATGTACCTGCCTATTACGGACTGAATGGTATCTACTCCAAACGTGTGGGACGCCTAACCCACAAGCTGCCGCTCAGGAGAAAGACATGCCAGTCTGCCCCCGTAAAGATCCCAACTCCAAACACACTGCCAGCATGCGATGTGGACTCAGAGCGACCCTGCAGAGCAGGGTAGAGCTGCCCCTGTGAGTTTCTGAGGCTGTCACTACGGGAGTAGAAAGCCTCCTCTTTCCCCCACCGAGCAGGTGGTGGTTTCAAACCGATGACCTTGCAATTAGCAGTCCAATATGGAACTCACCTCCGACACGGGAGGAGCAGTCCTCCTTTGTCCTAGAGGGTGGCTATGAGTTGGAATGCCCTGGGGGCAGTGGGTTTGGGTTTGATTAGGTCTGTGGATTAAGGTGACCAGACGTCCCGATTTTTAACAATTTTTCCCACATCCCTTGGCGTTTTAAAAAGTCCCAACTTTTGGAAAGAATGCACGACAAGCACGACAAGTATACGGTTTTCGGCTGCCAGGTGGCTATTTCGCCAGGACATGAGTTTTATCAATGGTGTCCCGCTTTCCCAATGTTAAAATCTGGTCACCCATTTGGGAATCGGGCTTTCTGTGCCAAGTGAGGGCCCCAGGAACCAAGGGAGGCCTTGGGCTAAGGAATCAATCAACAAGGCAGAACCCCGCATTTGGACTTTCAGACTCCAGAATCACTGGTGAGAAAACGAATTGCTGCTCCTTAAGGGCACCCGTTGGAGTATCCGTGCTGGAGCGGCGCAGGCACACTAAGACACCGCTGCTCCGGTGCGTGTGGAGCAGAATGTGCCATTACTCAGTGTAGAAACCTCAGGCCTCATGAACCAGTTTCCCTCCCTTCACTCCGCTGCCTGACGCTCACTACGAAAAAATCTGGGCTTGATCTGTGACATCCCTTCAGGTGCCAGAGAATGAATCACACATTGTCATCACACTGAAAGTACAAGGGATCCAATTTTTGTTGTAGTTTGCTTACAACAATGCAAATATCTGTGACAAGAACTTCACTGGAGATTTTAATAAGCATTACAGAATCCAAAAGAAATAAATTTGGGACACCAGCCCTCTCCCCTATCCCTGGACTGTGAACTTACCTACAGTTAAACATGGCATTGTATTATAATTTATCCTGATTTTTTTTAAAAGGCACATTTCTCAATAAAACGCTCACCAAGAACAATTTCAGAGCAATTGACCCTGCAGCTTGCTAAGCTCTAAAGATGGTTTCGCTGTGATGGAAAGTAGAAGCCAGGGGCCAAAAATAACATGTCGGAATAAGCCTCGGTTGCATTCTCGGGGGCATTTAGAATCGGCTCGTTCCTCTGTATGGGCCACTGCAAGAACCTGCCTCTGTAGGGTTGCTCCCTTTAAGCCTTTCTTAGCTGCTTACAATGCTCCTTTCTGTCAGCAGTGGGTTTCAAACCGCCAGCTATGCCCCAAATGGAAGTCACAGCGGGCCTTTTGCTGCTTCGCACTCACAGTAGGCAACACTAACGTGTTTATGCTTCCCTGCTGGAAAAACGGCAAAGGAGGGCAAAAGCTACATGAGAGAGCCGGTCCCCAAGCCATCCACCACCTGTGGCATCATCGCTTTTCATCTGGGTGTGACTTCGGCGCAGCCCTTGGGGCAGGACAAGTCACCTGCCTCCTCTCAGGGCGATGGGTGGAGGGCATGCGCTACAGCGCCAGGAGGAACTCAAGAGGGGTTGGCAGTGCTCCGTGCTCGTCAGAGTCCGATTCGATCGCGGGTTGTTCACAGGCTGAGGAGGAACAGGTCTTTGGGGGTCATGTGGGTGCCACGGTTAGATCAACCTGCTGCTCTCCGACACTAGAGGCTCCGAAGAGCCGCTCGTCGTGCTGCCGAAGCTGAAGGAGCACCAGACGCAGCGTCCAGCGAGCGTTACAGCCTCTCCACCGGAACTCCCACCTCGACCCACAAAGGAGCGGGGTTAGGGCAACGGCGAGTCAGGCAGTGACCAGCAGACGCAACGCTGGTGGGTTCGCTGAGACGGGGGGCAGAGAAGTAACTGATGGAGCCTTGCGAGGAGCCAATGTCGTGAAGAAAACCTAGTCGTAGAACAACCAGTTGGTGGCAAAATGAAGACAGGGCTACGTGGGAGCAGCTGAGTCAACACTAACTCTGGAACATCAGAAGGACAGCAGAATGGAGGTTCCCAGGACACCTCAGTGGCTGCAGACGATTGCAAATGAACTCTGGTTCCAGCCTCTCTGCAGCCGGGTCTTTCTATAGTTCGTATGACTCAGGCTCTCCGTGGGCCCTGCCCTGGGGCAGCCTGGCTGAGTTTCTGTTCCCCATTGGCACACTGACAAGAACATTTCTTATAATGAAAGTCTAGCAGAGAAGTAGGCCAGACTTTACCGTGGTTCTCCCAGTAAGCACAGGTTCGTTCAACACTGGGACACCGGAGGAGAAAGCAGAGGGATGCCCCCCGACTTGTTTTGCAACTGAAGGCTTGAAGGTAGGAGGGGACTTGCTGTCCCTTGGGCCTGGAAGTTCCTCTCCTCCTCTGGCCTCTGACCCACCCTGCTTACTCATCTTTCAAGACTCACTCAGCTCCGAAGGCAAGACATTTCTGAAGATCCTCTGATGCCTCACTGACTTAAATGCCTTCCTAAGTCCCAAGTGTCTCCTCTGTGAATCTACCATAGGATGAACCGTGGTATTTGGCAACTGTTTACACGCCTGTCTCTTCTCCAGCCATCATTTCCAAATAGAAGTTCTTTCGTGGCCTCTTCAATACCGTGCTTGCTTTTTTGCACAGAGCCGGGTACCTGCTTGCTGGGTCAATTCATTAACGGCAGGGGTTTTCCCTGCAGCTTGGAAAGAACTCAGATGCCACGGCCTCCCTGTCCCTGACACGTGAGGAGGCACTCTGCTAAAAAGGAACGTGCTTTCGCTGGAACTGTGTGGGGACATGCGATTGTCATTCCCGTGATTCCAGACTGCCTGGCCGACTTTGCCTTCGTGGGCCGTGATCACGGGAAACCTTACATCCGACGAAGAGCCAGTTCTAGCATCAGCGAAACCAGGGTGAACCTGCAGCTGCAATTCCCCATGCTCTCAGTAGTACAACGAGGGCCAGTCTCAGACGTGAGACTCCAGGGGAGCCTGAAGCCAGAGCTCTGGATGAATGGGGACAGACAGTGGCCAATCACTCACATCTCTCTGCAAGGGGCCGCCGTGGGCCACAGCTGAGAGCTGTCCCAGGGACCAAGGGTAGGAGTGCTTACCTGTTCTGGAAGGTGCTGATGGTCACGTGAGTAGAGTGGGCCAGTCCTGGAGGGGTCTCTGCTTGATGGATGGTCCCTCTGGGAAAGTAGAGCAAGTCACCGGGCTGAAAGAGGCGAACAAGGAGGGGAGGAGTGTTAATAAGGAATGTGCCCTCTTAGTCCTGTTTGTTTTACAGAGATAAATATAGGCTTGGATTTTAGTTCTCCATGACAAAAGCCACACCGAGTGATTCACGAGGAGCCCTGGTTACGCATTTGGTCAGCAGTTCGAAACCACCAGCTGGTCCACAGGAGGAACACAGGGCTTTCTACGGCCAAAAAGCATGACAGTCACAGGGGCAGTGCTACCCTGTCCTCTAGGGACTCTGTGAGCCAGCGTCTGGAGTTCGAGAGTGAATCACAGCTGGTGTGCATGCTGGGCTCCTGCGGGCTGGACAGTGACGAGCCTGTTACCGTAAGGTGAGAGACTCACTTCTTCATTCACAAGCTCAGGTCAGATACACATGAAACGCGGCTCTTCGATTCAGGGGTCAAGGAAGCCCTAGAGCAAGAGCTCAAGAAATCGGTTTAACTTTTTCTTAAGATATTTTGTAAACCAAATGGCAATACATAAATCTCTATGAGAGGGCTTCAAAAAGTTCATGGAAGCACGGAATGGAAAGAAAACGGAATTTTCCTATGAACTTTTTGAAGCCCTGTTGCATGTCCCTAAGAGCGAGATAGGCTGCTTCTTTAGCCTGCTAACACCAAACTGTGACGAAACGTCAGCCTTTGGGGACAGACAGGCTTGCTCTACTGGTACTGGTGGCTCCCCTTCCCCGAGTGTCTGCACTGGCGCACAAGCGAGGCCTTCGACGCAGCTTCACTCAGCACCCCCAGCACCCCTCAAGGTTCCGGGGGTAGAACACGGAGCACAACAAACACCAGGCCTCAAGTAGAACATTTGAGTTGGGAAAGACAATAGTCCCAGAAAGGGAAGAAAGAAAAAGATACAACCAAGAAACGAAACAATCAGTCTACCGGCAGTGAATGCGCTGCAAACAAAGCGGAGGACAGACGGGGAAGTGGGGGAGAGGTGTGTGCTTGGTGTGTGATTTTTATCCAGTACAGCCAAGGAAACCTTATTCTGATCAGGTATCTTTACCAGCACTGCCGTAACAAAGGACATCAAACCGAAGTCAAATCTCAGAAACGTATACTGCTTTACAGTTCAGGAAGCTCAAAGTCTGAAATCAAGTCAGCCAGGGCCATGCTGTCTGAAGGCTCCGGAGCAGTGGTTCTCGCCTTCCTCATGCCGAGACCCTTGAACAGAGTTCCTCATGGGGTGGTGACCCCCAACCGTAAAATTATTTTCATTGCTACTTCGTCAATGTCAACTGTTATGAGTCGTCATGTATATATCTGATATGCAGGATGTATTTTCATTGTTACCAAGTGAACATAATTAAAGCATAGTGATTCATCACAAAAACAATATTTAATTATATATTGTGAAATATTTATTTCTAGCGACAAATAAATGACCTTTTGTCTTGAAGCATGGCGTAGCATGGGTAACAGTCTGGTCTGTGGATGTATCTGCGTGTGGGTGGACCTGCCTGGAGACGGACAGAGGAGCGGTGTCTCGGTTCCTAAGGCCTTTGGACATGTGTTTTCCGATGGTCTTAAGCAACTCCTGTGAAAGGGTCATTCGAGCCCCACAGGCTGAGAACCGCTGCTCTAGAGGCTGATTGTCTTTCGCCTCATCCTAGGTGCTGGTTGTGGTTGTTAGCTGCTGTTGAGTCAGCTCCAGCTCACAGCAGGCCTGGGGGCACCAGAGCGAAACCCGCCAGGCTCACGACTTCTGCTGGAGTCCATTTTGCAGCCACTCCGTCAACCCACCTTCTGGAGGGGCTTCCTCTTTCTCACGGACCCTCGACCTTTCCAAGCATATGCCTTTATCCAGGGACTGGTTCCTCCTGATACTTTTGTCTAACGGCGTGGTCTCATAACTGTCACCCAAAGGTTGGGTAAACTCATCCACTGCCATCAAGTTGGTTTTGACTCTTAGCAACTCTATATAGGGTTTCTGAGACGATAAATCTTCACAGGAGCAGACAGCCTCGTCCTCCCCCAGAGCAGCTGGTGGGTTTGAACCACCAACCCTCCCATTATCAGCCCATTACTCAGCCCACAGCACCAGCCAGACGACATAAAGATTGGATGGGAATATGTTAATAAGATGCATGGCACCCTTGTGGGGAGGGATCATGTAAATAACGTGTATGGAACCTACCCTAACGAGGAGATTGGTCACTCTGCAAGGCTTAAAAGGAACCATCCAGAGACAGAAAGGGAGTTCTCACAACCAAGAAAGAAGAGCCAAGGATGGAGTGTGTCGTTTGTGTCCAAGAAGCCTCATCCAGGAGACACACAGAGTTGTGAACACCTTGCTGCGATAGTGAGAGAGGGCAAGAAGCAGTAGTAGGGAAACAGGCAGCAGAACCAGGAGACCCACAAGAAACTGCCCGTGGGCTTCCTTTCCCACGAAGGGAGAAAACAAAGCCCCTTTGGGCATTTCATACTTTCTAAGACTTGGCATAGTTGCAAACAGTCAGGGATTTTATATTTCTTCCATCTTGCATCGAAGTTGTCATTAGTGTCTAATTCTTCCTCAGTGCTTCTTAGTTTTAAAATCTCTGCCTGCTATCAACAACAGGAAACTATGTTGCATTGTTTTTTATAATCTTGAACCACACTCTGGAAACTATGGCCAGTGGGTCAAATCCTGTTTTTGTAAATCAAGATTATTGGAACAGTAGGAATGGCCTGAGGATGGCATCTGACCTCCTCGGCCTTCACAAGCAGGGAGGATCCCAGCTGATTCCGATGAGGCCAAGGACAGACATGCCTCCAAACTTCTGACCAATTCTGATGCCAGCCTGTCTCTCCCATAGCACACTCTACTTCTCTGTTGGATTCTTCAATGATTTAGTGATTAAAGCTTAATCCATTCAGTGGCCACACAGCACTCACAGCACTCCTAACTCTATGAACACTCCTAATTCTAGGGTTTATTAGGAAGTAAGAGCTTACTGTGCTGCTGGATGCTATGTCACTGGTGTGTCAAGTGCCAGTGCAGTCACCCAAAGTGAACAGGTTTCAGCGATGCTGCCACACTAAGAACCGACAAAGAAGAAGGACTAGGCTCCCCACCTTGGAGGAGGAAGCCTTGAAAACCTTATGCAGAACTGGGAGGCATCGTCAGCAAGGAGAGCCTGAACAAAGGAAGCAGAACACTGTGGGAGACCCTGCTGGCAGAGGGGCCCCAGTCCCAGGGCACTCCGAATGTGACGGAGGAGGAGCTGGTTTTGCAGGGGAGTCAGTAACGGTGATGGGAACTGTGTAAAGCCGTGAGTGGAGCCTTTGGGGTCTTCATTTGCTGACTGGGCAGGAATCAAGGTAAAGAGAAACTGCTGCAAAAACCTTCTGATGAATGGAACTTGGAATGTGTGAAGTATGAATTTAGGAAAATTGGAAGTGGTAAAAAAGGAAATGGAACTCATGAAAATCGATATCCTAGGCCGTAGTAAGCTGAATTGGACTGGTACTGGCCATTTTGAATCAGAAAATCAAATGATTTTCCATGCTGGGAATACTGTAAGAGGAATGGTGAGGCGCTCCTCATCAGAAAGGATCTTACGAAATCCATCATGAAGTACACTGCTATCTGTGATCAGACTATATCTCTCCACCTTCAAGGAAACCCAATCAACATAGCTATTATACTATTATTCAAATTTATGCAGAAACCACAAAAGGTAGGGATGAAGAACTCCATCAATTTCAGTCAGAAATTGATCAAACATGCAATCAAGATGCATTGATAGTTATTGGAGACTGGACTGTAAACGTTGGAAACAAAGAGGAAGGAAGAGTAGTTGGAAATATGGGCTTGGTGACAGAAAGAAGCTGGAGATCACACGATAGCATTTTGAAAAACCATTTGTTCATAGCAAATACCTTTTTTTCAACAACACAAAAGGTGCCTATATACATGGACTTCTCCAGATAGATACACAGAAATCAAATTGATTACATCTGTGGGAAGACACAATGGAGAAGCTCAGTATCAGCAGCTAAAACCAGACCAGGGGCTAACTGTGGAACAGACCATCAATTGCTCATATGTAAGCTCAAGATAAAGCTGAAGAAAATTAAAACACCCATAAGAGTCAATATACGACCTTGAGTCTACCCCCACCTGAATTTCGAGAATATCTCAAGGACAGATTTGAAACGTGAAACACTAAAGACAGGTGATCTGCTGAGCTGGAGGAGGACATGACCATCATTCATGAAGAAACCAAAAGGTCATTAAAAAGATATGAAAGAAAGAAAATATGAGTGGATGTCCGAAGAGACTCTAAAACTTGCTCTAAACTGTAGAGTAGCTAAAGCAAATGGAAGTAAGGATGAAGTCAAGAGCTGCCTAGAAAATTTCAAAGGGTAATTCAAGAAAACAAAGCCAAATACTATATCAAAATGTGCAGAGACCTAAAATAAAAAAAAAAAAACAAGAAGGAAGAACATGTTCATCATATCTGGAAAGGAACAAATTCAAGAAAACTTTAAGGCCTTGCATTGCAATTTTGAAAGATTCCATAAGCAAATACTGAAAGATGCACTAAACTCCAAGAGAAGAGGGAAAGAATACACAGAGTCACTGTACCAAAAAGAACGAGTGGACCACCACTTCAGGAGGTAGCACATGAGCGAGAACCAATGGTGCTGAACGAAGAAGTTCAAACTGCACTGAATGCAGTAGCCAAAAACAAGGCTCTAAGAACTGACCCATTGAAATCTTTCAGCTCACTCTACAAGTACCAACCACCAAATCACCTTTAGAAACTGGGCAACTGGAACGAAAGACCCTTTGCATCAAGACTCTTAGATATGCTCCCACTGGGATGCTTATGTTTTGCAGACACAAAACCTGACCCCTGAACTTGACTTAGGAAAAAGAGAAATACACAAAACAGTAGTTGCCTCTGGTCCCTGAGGAAATAGCGTGAAAGCAGCCCCTACCTTCCTCTGGGGGAAGAAGAATCCAATTCCACATCTGCCTAAGGATGATTCCTATGAAGAGAGGCCAGGCATGCCTCTGCCCTCTGACCCTGTATCTCTTGTGGCACTCTACTCCCCTGCGTGGTTTGGTAATCTATTGCAGTGGTCACAAAGAACTCAAAGACAATACTCAAGGTCATGGGGCTTATGAGGGAAGCTAATGGTTAAAAGTTAGGATCAGAAATATTAAGGATACAGTTCTTTTGTCTGTGGCATTTCTTCTCAGTTGTACCCATCCCCAGCCACCCAGTTTCTCGGCCTCTTTCCTGCTCAGGCAAGTATTTAAAAAGCCCCTTTAGCACTGATATATGCCAGAGAGCACCCCACTCTGCATGCCAACCTCCTGCTCAACGGCACTTGGCTTCCCTCATTCCAGGGGCCTGCCGCTGTCTCATGCTGTTGGTGTTGCCACTGCCACCGCTTTTCCACAGAGGCCTGTTTCTCTCTCCTCGCTTCTGAAACGTCTCACTTTATAGCCAGCAGAAGGGCAAAACTGGCCAGTCCCCTCATGTTAGTCCCGCACACCCTATTTGCATATTCCCACCCCGTCATTTGGTGGCGTTACAAAGACTATGGAGAGAAGAGCCGTACCCAGTCATTCAACTGTACCAACCACCCACGGCCATGGAGCCCATTCCAGCGGAAAGCTGCCCCTAGACAGGGTTTCTGAGGCTCTAAGTCTTTACAGGAGATAGTCCATCTTCTTCCTGAGGAGACAATGGTAGGTTTGACTGCGGCCGAACTCATTTCTTGCAGATGTAATCCACGTGGGAACCAGGTTTTGCTTTGCCATGCTTATGAGGCCCTATCAGTGCCGAGTATATTTTAAATTCATCACTTTTGAGTACACAGAGCATGCACGGACAGGAGGCACAGATGGGAAAAGATAAGATGTCCTGCCATAGGAAGTTTGGCCAAGAAACCCAGGAACAGACCTGGAAGAGGCAGGACCTTCCCCCAAAGCCAGCCATTGACTCAGTGACCTAGACTTAAGACTTTCAGTTTCCTAAACTGTGAGGAAAATAAACCTTTGTTCATGAAAGCCCCCCCTTGTGACATTTCTTTCACAGCAGCACTACATAATTAAGAGGTATTCTATGATGAGGGCAACAAATGGACAAATATGCTTGACAAAACGGATGTATGTATGGATTGTGATAAGAGTTGTAGGAGCCCCCAATAAAATGATTTTATAAAAAAATGAAGCAAAGGTTGGGAGTGGGTACATGGAAGTGTATTATTATAAAGACAATACATCATATGTGAAATGATGTTTTAATATACGTATGATAAAGGTAAAAAAAAGAGAGAGATGTGTACCTTCAACGTGAACTCGTGCGTTGGCTTCCCAATCCTGTCCTCGGCCTCCACGCTGTACCCTCGGGCCAGGGGCACCGTGGGGCGGTAGAGGCGCCAGTGCTTCTCGCCCTCCAGCTGCAGGATGAACACCTACAGGGCCAGAGACCAGGGGATCAGAGAGAAGCCGACAGCTCAGGTGACAAAGCACTGCTATCTAGCTCTCCAAGGGCCTAGGCAAAGTACACATTCCAGATTAGAAACAAAAATAAAGGATCGTATCTCCATTTCTCTCCACGTTTAAAGGAAAGTTACAAGAATTGGGGTGTATTCATAAACCCTAATGCTGAACGGGTGTTCATTCTTTCCTTTTTGGGGGGCCCTTTACACCCCGCTATCTCAATCCTGCAGTTCTTCTATCAGACAGCGGGAACGCCCACAATCCCCGGTGGAAAAGTCAAGCTTCAGCCAGTACCAAATGTCTAAAATCCCAAATACTGAAAGGGCGTGTGCAGATTAAAATAAACTACAGTTTCTTTAGTCATCATCCTGTAAAAGATGTTTTGATGCTTTATACATGTATTTTTTTAATTGTGTTTAGAAACCATACTGATACTAACTTACCCTCAAAGGAAAAAGGAAGGGCTAGCAAGAAGGACTTTTGATTCTGTATTCATTCACATTTTCTGTTAGTACAAAAATAAAATTATGAAAAAGAAATATCTATGACAAGAAGTCCCTTTTTTGGGGGGAAACTAGAGCTGAGGTGAAATCATGTCACCCGTTCAAGCTGTCCCAAAGGTTTTCGCAAATGGGAATATCTACATAGTAAATGTATTCCCATGTGTACACAGAGATGGGCTTCGATAACAAAACGACAAGATGAAAGCAGCTGGGACGATTCTCTGTGACTTCACCTTACACTTGAATGTAAAGAAAAAGCCAGAGACATGTCCTTTGGTCACTCCAGTAATTACTTGATTCACAGGCATGTGTGGCTCTTTGTATGACTAAAGTTGGAAACAATCTCTCCCTGTAAAAGGAAGAGGAAACCAGCTTGGTGGGATTGACCTTGGCCCAGCATTTAGGTGAGGGCAAGATCACAAGAGCCCACACAGAAAATGTGGGCAGTGGCCTGCCAACGAGCCTCAGAGAATCATGGGAGCTGAGCCCTGGCACCTGGCATTCACCTTTCCTTCGCTGTGCAATTTTTTTCTCTTACCTCGACATCATCATAATGGGGGGGTAGGCCCTGAGATCCCGCAGGCGTGATGTACACATTTGAGCCAACCAAGGAGCCAAAGTAACATTCTAGTTTCTCCTGGATCTTCCAAAGCTCATCCTTTAAAAAAAAGGGGGGGGGGCATATGCATATTATGTTATATTATTATATTCTGGATACTGAGACCAAGCCAGTGACAAGCCAACACCTCTGTCCTCAAGAAACTGACAGTCTAGTGCCAACCCAGAGAAAATACGTGAGCAGGGAACTGATAAGTTTGACAGAGCAAGCAGGAGTGACTGGAGGATTTTACACAGGAGATTGACATGGTCCCATTCACACTTTTAGAGGCTTACCCAGGCTATTGTGTGGGAAATGGACTTCAGAAAAGAAGAACGCCAGCAAGAGAGATGACCGAGACCCCTTGACCCTGCTGAGAATGCTAGGGTGGTGGGGATGAGGAAGTCGCCCGGCATTACGGGCGCGCGGACTGGACCTGCTGACGGACTCAATGGAAAGAGGCCAGGGAAGCAGTGAAAATACAGAGAGTTCTAGGTTTGGGCTTGGGCAGTTAGTCAGCCACTGGTGCTATTGGCTAACATAGGAAAGACTTACAAAAGAACAAGTTGTCAGGAGGAGAAAAAGAGTGCTCTCCCTCAGACGTGTTAAAGGGACATTGAGCTGCTGAGATCCCCAAGGAGAGATGTTCTGAGGGTCCCGTTGACTTTCTAAGTCTGAAGGTCTGGCAAGAAGGAAGGGCTAGAGATTAAAATTGGGGGTAATGAAAGATTGAAAGATTGAAAGATTGAAAGATTGAAAGCAACGGGGACAGAAATGATGCCTTAGAAAGGGTAGAGGAAGAAAAGGAGAAACGGGAAAGGTGATGTTCTATCGTCCAGCCATCGGTCAGTCAGTTCTTCAGCGCACAAGTCAAGCAGAGGCCTGGCGATCAGCCGCATACGCCTGCGAGAGAGCGGGGGCTTTCATTCCCCAAGACAGATGAGAAGGAGGGCAGTAACAATTATTAGCACGCCCTCTGTGCCAGGCAGTGTCTCCATGCTGCGGAACCTACCAATTACATACCCATCGCAGCAACCCGTCTCAAAGGTGGGCACTATCATTACCTCTGCTTTAAAAATGAGGAAGCCAGGCACAAAACCACAGTGCTAGTAAATGAGGAAGCCGGGATTCAAATGCAGACAGGCTGGCTCCAGAGTCCATTCCCTTAAGCACTCCTCCGCAGTTGCCTCTAAGAAGCTACCCTCAAGAAAAGACCAGTCAGCTACAACGTGTCCTCACGAGCTGC